TTCTATGATTCTATGATTTTTTGTTCCATGCAACTGTAGAATTAAAAAAAATTACAAAATCATACTTAACTTTTAAACAATGCTTCCATGACAGACTATTTTCTAGTACTACCCTTGTTTATCTTTAAAAGACTGTTTCTCTTAGAAAGTCAGATTACTTATGTGCATATAATTAAGGCACACCACTGTATGGGATCGGGGCTTATGTATATCAAGAGCAAGAAGACTGTTTTGAAAACTCAGACCATCATAAACAATAGCAGTAATGACAATAATGCACCTCACTTACCAAAATTACCATCCAAATGAATATAAAGTTCAAATACACTAAAAGCAATAGTTGTATGTGCAGGAAAAACAATGGCTTTGTCCCTCCCCTTACAATTCTGATCTTCAATAATGTGAAACTACAAATTAGAAAAGCACAGAAAAAAAAAAAATTTTTTTTAAATAAGCTAAATAATAACTGTATACATTGAGAATTATAATGCCAGGAGGAAGCTTAGAAAGTGAAGATCAAATTTCACAAGTAAAGAATTTTCTATTAATGACTTTGCATTTCAATACAGTTTGATACAGAGGTAGTAACAACTTGCATCACTCTGATAATTATATGAATGATTTATGAAAACTAGTAATGTGCAAACTTCAGAAGATTTATAGGTTCAGTTATTCAAACACACTGAAGAGAGAGAGGGAAAGGGAGTAAGAAGGTAAACAGGAACTAAGATGCCGACCCTTGAAGTAATAATCTAAAGTTACAATATGTCATAGAAGATGAATATAATAACGAAAGATAGGCTACACATTTATTGAAGATTCAAACTAAGAAGTAAATGCCACATTTTTGCTGAGGCTTCACACAAAGCGATGGCTCATTGCTTAGCCATCCTTTCACATGCATTTCCCATCCCTGTCACATAAGCAATGCTAACAAAGGATCAGCTTTTAATTCAGTTTGCATCAGTGCAATAACACTGATTTACTTCAGATTTTTCTGCGCTTACATCAGTAAAAATGCAATTAAAGCCAACCATAAAATTTATAATAATGAGCTTTTTATATTTGTTCATTTAAGTTGCAGAACTTTGTCAAACATATTTACCCTCATTGTCTCTCCACGCATTCCAGTATGGACAGTTAATGAGCACTGCCTTGTAGTTCTAATGCTTTCCATGACCACACACAAAATTTCCATCCTATTTTTTCTTGATTGATGGACTAGACAATGATCAAAGTTTATTTTTCTGAAATCAAGAGGGAGACAGGAAGGAAATTCAGAGATTATTAGCAATTTACAAAGCAGCTAATAGAATTAGCAACTTTAAATCAGTAAATAGACCACCATAATTTTAGTCTCATAGCAGTAAAGAACTGACTGAGGTTGTCTCTGGAAACTTAATACTGATCTTCAGCATTTGGGAACAGAAGCACTAAAAAATCAAGGAAATCTAGCAATATGCAAGTGTCTGAGAGGTTATGTGGGACGTCCTGGAAAATTCCAGGTCTGTCCATCTGAAACTGTTCTTAGTAAGGAACTGTCAACACACCCTAATTAATAACAGTTGTTTTTAAAGTGATATAATTAATGTCAGTCAGTAAGAATGTATGGAAAATAGATAATAAAAGCAATAGCTGTAATGCTCTAGCTCTAGGCTTCTATAAAACTTATGATAATGCAGTGTTTTGGTTAGAAAACTAAATGATGCCTATACAAGCTGACACACACACAATGTATTAAAAACTGGTTAACTGATATGTATCAGCTATAACTGAAAAAAATTGTATCACTTACAAAGATGGAACAATCATGAAACAAATGTTTTTGCAGGAGAATTTCTACAGGCCTTGGCTCTCAGTCCTATAACATTGAATATTTTTATCAGGAGACCAGGACACTTACCCCATCCCGCCCCCAATTATTAATAGCAATGTTTGAAGGTTACAAATAAACCAGGAAAAAGTAAGTACAGAACAAGAGAAGTTATGGATACAAAATGACATGCCCTGCTTGGTAAATAACTACAAGGAAACAATATATATTTGAAAATACCAAAAGTCACATCATGCATAGTAAATAATTTACCGGGATGCGACACTGGAATTCACTGGGATGACATTGTGGCCCAGGGATAATCTTTGAATATAAACTAGAGAATTAAACCTAGAGTTAGTCACATCATATTTCCATGTGTTTGACATTTGTGCTACCACTATAGGAACACCAAGTTTGGTTTTGGTGTCCACAGCTCAACATGAACCTTGGAAAAATGGAGACTGCATTTTTCATAGAGAAGAGCCACAAAAGGTTATGAAAAATTTAAGCAGATAAACCTACTTTGCTTTTCAAAGTATTAACCTCATAAAACCTTGAAGTACCTACATTGGCAATAATACATACAGCTCTCTAGTTCCAGACAAAGGCAAAGAAAGCCTATTTTTGAAACCTGAAGTTGGGTGATGTCATTCAAAGTAAATTTCAAATTTTCAGTATTATGGAATAACATAGATAGGACATTGGATGGACTCTTCCTCTTTGGATATTTTTTTTTCCTGAAAGATGCGCTGTAATTCAAAAAAGAACTAATTCAGAAAAATTCTACAGTCTGTACCACACAGAAGGTTGTGTCTAATCCCAGTGATCCAATGTGAGACTTTTGGAAAATATCAGATGGTGACTGCTATTGATTGGCTAAAAGTAATCAAAACTTAACCATTTCAGAGGTTCCGACTAACTGTATGAAATATAATTATGGAAACAGAAAACATAATATATCATATAACCTTGCAGTAAGTTCTTTAAGTAATGTTGGTACTTCAACCTCATGTTTGGTCACTATGCCAAATGAAGCTTTAAATGCAACAGAATCTGATCCAGCAATGTCAAAACCAACATCATTCATTATCTGATTTCCTCTTCTACCATTAAGCGAAACATCTGATTTGTCTTCATAGTTGAGCAACTGGTAAGATGAGACACCTGAGGAAAAGAAGATAATCATTGTGTGATGAGAAGTCTGAACACAGTGTTTTTACACAGCAAGAAGAGAATAAATGGTGCTGTTCCTACTGCGCTTAACTATTTTGATGGGAAATTCAGAGCTACATTGAGCACTTACATACCGGTGTTGCTGCTGTTGACTAATGTCAACAAAGTGCGTAAGGGTCTGAGGGATTTCTGTGCCTCTCTCTGGCTGAGTTGTGCCCACACTCCTGCATGTGGTATGTCCTGGGCATGAAATGGTGGGCTATTTGTACATTCCTGTGCTTACCATTATTCTCCTAAAGTACTTTTACCTGTGAGTATGCTGTTGGTACTTGTTTAAACTAGACGTGTAGTATGTTCTGCATACAAAGAGACTCTGAAACAAAAAATTACTTAGTGGAGGCCACACAGAATATTAAAGCTAGGAACAAAATGAAAGTCACTGTGTGTAAAGTAATATTAGTGGCTTCTGAATTTTGTCTAGCTGCAGTACAAATGCAAGTACATTTATTCATTTTGCAATGTGTGAATGAGACATGGGCATGCCACTAACTTTGCCTTTTACCCAACATGTCACAATTAGAAAGACTTAGCACAGTTTCCATGTATGCCTGGTGATTCCAGGGACTATGTTACTGACTTTGAAGGAAAGCAACATGTTAATTCTGACTTGAAAGTTTGCTTCGATTTACCGTGCAATCAAAGAGTAGGTGACAAAGCATTTCTATAATGCTTTATAACCTCAAATACATTTCTGTTACACTAAAAGAAAAATATTAGAATGCATTGGTTGATAAATTGAAATTAATAAAGCAGGTGGAACACAGGGATTAGGTAACCAAATATATTTGAGAGTCTGGATTTTACTCTTTTTTTAAATCCTTTGAAGCTTTTAGGATAAAAGCTGACATTATGAAGTCACCTAGTATGAATCCTGTTTGTCTTTTTAACAAAAAAAAAGTTCACGTATTTTTTTATTCTAAAAAGATGGCAAAAGCTTGTATTTGTTACATTAAAAAAAAAATTCAATTACAAAGTTCTTTGCCTACATTAAAGGACAATACTTTCTGCACATGACATCTAACCTTTACTGAAAAGACTAGAAGATCTTATGAGACTGAGAGAGGGAATTTTATGAGATTTTAATGAGATTTTTTTTTTTCTTTTTTTTCCCCACTCAGGACAAGACAGCTGTCTTGCCCTGAATATAAGACTAGTAGGATTAGTGGGGTTCCGTTTTTTTCATCTTGTTTGCATCCTGGAATCACGCTTTTGTGGGGTCAACTGGTATTTCTGTCATCTTGTGCTCACACCAGTTTGTCGAGAAGAGTTTTTAATTAATTTAATTGTTGTGCAATTAATGTGATCAGTATTGTTGACAAAATTGAAAATAATTCTTCAAAAGAAATTATTCAAAAGAAAATAAAGCAATGAAACTCTTTTCAGAAAACATTCCATGTAAACAAGAATTACAGAGGACTTTTCACAGGAACGTATGGGAAAATATAGGCAGTATAGTTCAATTTTGCACCTCCCAGTTCTCATAGAATCTCCTCAAAAATGTCTCATATTGCATAGCAAAGGAAATTTAAACACAGTTAAGATCTTAAAAAAAAAAAAGATTACAAATGTGGAAAAAAAAATCTTATGTAAATCCAATCACTACAGTCAGATAGCTGTTGTCAAATGCTTCTGCCTGTGCAGAGCCCAGTTCAACACCAGGGATTACTAGCATGGAACTGCTGCAAACTGAGGCTGTTCTTACACACCTAAATGCGAGAAGAGAGAGACAGGTGAACTGTCAAACCAAATTTTAAGTAGCAATTAATCAACATACATCAATACATCTATCAAGAATCAGTTGCCATTTGTGAAAAACACAAGGCTGAATTTATTTCATATTAGTTCAAAAGAAATCAAGGCTTTATAGTATAATTTACCTTTTTTTAATCTCTTTTCCAGGAACTCTTTTTTTTTATTATTAGTTCGTACTTTTTTCTTAAATATTTATTACATGACTAAGCCAGATAAATTTTATTACCCATGTACTAAAAAACCATCACACTACCTGCCCGGTTTAAACTATGTCTACCGTTCTGTATTTACTAGAAAACATGCATTTTTCCACTTAGAAGAAAGATAGAAATCTTACCTGCAGAAATTTCTTTCTCCCCTTGAAGAATGTCTTTTAATGTGAAAGGTGTTGAAGCAAATTTAGACTTTTTTGAAAGCAAACATTTTCTTTTCTTAATCACAAGGCTCAGAGGTTGGTATTTATCAGCTTCACTGAGACTGGGCACTGGAACTAGTCTTCCTCCATCACCAACCTGTTTAACAAAGTTTTTGGTTGCAGCAGCAAACATATTATGACATCAGTAATGATAATAATAAAAAGCTTTGCATCAAGTGTAGCTTCCAGACATCAAGCCCATGTTCAATTCTTTTTACAATGCTCTTTCAAAAGAACTAACATATTAAAAAAAAAAAAAAGCCATCAAACTGTTTTTTCGGGTTTAGTTATATATTGCATGGAAAGAATCAACAGCATGTTAGCTACCAAGCTTCTATGGTGTATTGCTCGAGAATTCTCTGAAACACCGTCAGCTGAGCTCTCTAATTCTGTATGATGAATAATGCATTGCCAGTGTAAACTGATAGGGAAACGGTCACCCTTTCCTTGGCAGTTTACACTGTTCAAAAACAAAATTTACGATCTTTAGGAACAGAAGACACTAACTTCTGCAACCCTTGGCTTCCAGCTGGGCGTTATTGATGTATCACTATTTATTGGGTCCTTGATGCAACTGAACTCTAGTGTTTCACCAAGATCCAGGAAAGCAGCCCAGCTGTGCTCTGGGAGGCCGCCAGAATTACACATTTGTGAATAATGGTAGGTCTGCTGAGGCGGTATTGCCTTTCAACAGTGCTTGCATAACCTCAGTGGTGTGGAGGTCTTGGGAAACACCTAGGCTGAAGCGTAAAATTAGTGATGGCTGGGCTGGAGAGGGGACAGTGGTGGGCTTTCATTATATATCGTTCTTCTCCTGTGGACTCTGCTGTCTGTGAGCCGAGGGCTAGCTTTGCCAGCTGCATGCATTTGGCCCAGTCTACTGAGAAATTTGCTAAATTGTGAGAATTACGCAAAATAATAAAAGTAAAATTGCAGACAGAAGTGAAATTATTGATACAGGGTTAAGGAGCAGTACAAGGATCCAAGAGGGAAAACACCAGTGTAAAAAGATACTCAGTTGTAAAGGGAAACAAGAAGAGTCACTAGACAGCACTGTGAAGGATCTGTGAGGGAGGCAGCACGAGTCAACCCGTTCTCATATATACATGACAATATTCTTGCAAAAGTGGAGACCATACAACTGCTAAACCTTGTAGTACATCTTCCAGAGACTCCTTTTGCAGTTACAGCAGATAAATAACCAGCCACAGGCTTGTAAAGCTAGACTATAATGAGTATTATCCCTGGGTGCCAGGTAAAAACTTTTGTTCGGTTGGCTTCTTTTCTAAAGTATGGTTTTCACATGAATGCATTTTAAGGACTGTTTTTATTATACGATCACTTATTTAATTATTGAACTTGTTTCAATTTAGTTCTTTCCAATACTTCCATAACTATTTTTAAACACTGAGTATCAGGAAGTCCAATAAAAAGGCAGAAAGGGGAGTACATTGCATCAACGACCTAAGATGAAAGGCTGCCAGAGCTTTCTGCTTACTCTAGAGGGTGCTGAAAAATCAAAGCTGGTTATATCTAGACTCTGAACTGAAATCATGTGAAATGCTGCAATTCAGTCTGACTGTAATTCATATTACTGCACTGACAAAAATACCCTGTACATATTTACTCAATCAAAACACATTAACAGAACTTAAAAAGAAGGAAAAGTTAAGAAAAATCTTAAATTAAAATAGCCGGTTCAGTCCTGATTTAGATTTATCTTGTATATGTCTTAAAACTGTTTGACAGGATCCTATTTTTCCACAAGTTATTAAGCTCAGTTGGCAGTGTTTATTCAACATATATTTATATTTCTCTTGTTTAGTATCTTATATAGATCATAATCTGATCCTAGCACCACCTTTGATAACGAATAGTTTCATTTTACATGTTTATATGGTAGGCATGTTACTCTGACACCCTATAATCCACCATCAATGCTGCAACAGCTGTTTGTGTCATCCTTAAGCCACAGGACAGGACAGCAACTATATTAACATCACCATGTTCAGAAAATATTTGGTAATTTTGCACATCCATGTGAAGAAACCTAAGATAGTTCCCCGCCCCTCCAGTACTAGGCACTTTTGTACCTGGCACACGCATGTACTTAGGAACTTCCAGCCTTTCTGCAGCCCGTCTCATTTTGGACAACCAATAAATGAAAAACCTGCTGTGCGTACGTTATGCCTGAGTCAGCACACGAATAAAAAAAATCTTGCTTCGTCAAGTTGTGCAGATGAAAATCCTTGCTCACGTGCAGGTTCAAGGCTACCCCTGGGGAGTGCCAGGGCTGTAACCTTGCGTAGCCCTTAGTATAGAGCCACATGATGGTAGTGACAAGGCAGTCCATCTGCGTTTGTTAACCAGGATCCTTCATAGAAGGACAAAAGAACTTTTCTAGCCCAATCTTAGAACACCTTTATATATCGCTGGAATGAGGTCAGACTTGAACCATCACCATGATGCAGGCATCTTTTTAAAAAGTAAATGAAAAAATATGACCAAAAATCCCCCACCCCAGATTGCCTACTATCCATCTACAATGACCTTTCTTCTCAAATGAGCCCCTGAATCACATACAAACTCATTGATGTCAGAGACAAAATTATTCCTCCAGTTTCCCCTTTTTCTCATTCATGAGAACACACTTTCTCTGTGTTACCCCTTCTCTCTCTAATTACGTACCCTCTGACCCTTGCAAATAAATGAGTAAATCAAAACTCTTACTGGCTGAAGCCTCATTTGCTGCTTCATCTGCAGAGCAGGTTCATCTATAGTTGAAAGATGGAAATCTGTGCAAGAAAATATATGAAGTGATGTAAAGATACAGTGGTCTACTTTTATGGATTTTTAATTGATTTTCCTGTCCCTATAACTTTAGCTTAACTGGTCACAGCTCCTACTACCACACTCTCTTCTGAGTCTGAGTTGTCCATCCCCAGCAGATCAAAGGTGTCTGTGAATTTGCCTGAGGACATCACAAGCCTCACCTTGGGGAGCAGTTTGAAGTTAGCTTATTCAGCTCTGTTCTGCATTTCTCTGCTATATCTTCCTCTGGAGCAAATAACCCGATGGCTAACTTCATATGCAAGATGAGTTCTGTTTCTTCAGAATGGGTCTTAGCCATGGAGTAGTAACAAAGCAGGCGAGTATTAGCTGTATGTAGCTGAGAATTTTGATGCTTAAATACTCTATTTTCTCTTCACATCATGCTGATATGAACCTGGACATTATTTAATCATAAAATCTAGAGAACAGTCCTTCTTTCTGCATAACTTTTGAGGACACAGAATGCTTTTCATAGTTATTAGGTAACTGCATAATGATTTCTTTTTTTTATTATCAGATAGTTATCCTACATTATCCCTGCAGGAATGTTGGATACCTGCAGTTATGGGATGTATAAAGATGCATTTATAGGCTGACCTCAGGTGCATGCAAGCTAGAGGCTTGTCCAAGGAACTGAAAATGTGAAATTACCTCACTAATTTCACCAGAAATCTAGAATCATCTGCAGATGATTTTGATGTTTCTGTAATCCACATGAACTGATGTGATTTTTTCTTGTCACAGTCACCCATATCATAAAGCTAGTATGATTAACCGGCCAGTTGAGGGGAGAAGTCTAAAGTGTTAACTGACTGGATAAATGCAGTTGGTGTTTCACTTGAAAGGGTTAAGCCCACATAATCAGTACCAAATTATGCTGGTAATTTGTTTAATACCTTCTTAATGTAGAATAAGGTTCTGTCAGTTGCCAGAACACCTGACTTAAGTGCTTTTGAACGCTATTACATTTACCTACAGATCTATACAGAAGAATAAGAAATTAACACCCAGAAAAACAGCAAATAAAAAGCTACTGAAAAAAATACTTGCTGAATTCCTCAACTTTCCAGCAGATGGCGTAAGTATTTCCCTAGGACGAAAGAATCTGTGCAATATACATCTGTTTCATGAGATAACAAAAATAACTATGTATGGAACCAAATATTGTCCTTTTTACTACCTAAGTGGTTTTAACAGCATTTCATTTATTATTCTTCCCCCGTCTCCTCCCCACGCAAGGTGGAGCTTGTCTGGAAATTCTCTCAGTTTAATGCCATAACTTACGTCACTTCAGAACTCCTGAGTATGAAGACAGTGCCAGTGCCTTGCTAAACTTCTGGTCTAGTAGTTTGCTGGGGTAAAGGGGTCATTTGGCATAATATTTGCAGTGACTGCTGCTCACAAAATATTACAGTACTTAGAGACCACTGTGAGGAAAGAAGTAAGTTAAAGGAATACGAAGGTTTTCAGCAGTCTTAGCTTCAGCTGAGATACTTCCATCTTGGGTTTCCTTCTTATATAGCTCAAGTGCAGTAGAAAACTTTAAATCAGTTCACAAATGCTATTTTAATTATGCAGTATAGGGGGAAAATTAAATAAGCTATCACAATATTTTAATTTTGTGTAAACTTACTTTATAAAGCTCTCAATCTGGTAAAGTGGTAAAAAAATCTAGTCACCTCTTGTATACCTGAAACTTAACTGGTTCCTTATGGAAACCACTCTGGGCAGCAGGATAAATAGACTGTATCAAAATTAGAGAAATCAGAAATTCAAGGAGGCAACTCATCAGAAGCCTAGTCCTAAAATGTATTAAGTTCCCCACATTTAAATTACGTTTTACTTCTTCTGGAGCCAGATCCTTTTGAATATTCCACTACTATCTATTACTATCTATAGTCTCAGGAGAAAATTTTAATGAGAAGCTTCTAGAGGTGTGTAATTTAACGGACTTTTATGTTTTATTTATATGGGAATTTCGTGTGTGAACAGTGTTTTTACCAATTAGAATGGATTTGAAAACCATTAAAAAGGTGCAGGAAACACTGTCGTCCTTTTCTATGCCAGTATCTAAAACATACCATTATGGCTGTTCTAAATTTTCAAGGTCGCTTTTAACAGTCCATTTGGAAGACAGATGCACATACTCACTATTACTATGTTTCCTATATAACACTCTTCAGGTATACAGCTCAAGTAAACTCTGTTGGAACCTCCTCCTATTCTCTGCCACAGAACAGACTGCGATAATACATATTCATAGTTGGTGCTGCAGTACACATAAAAGGTAGATCTCCTGCC